AGACTTCACATGTCTTTTTATTTTTTAGACATGCAGGTTTCCTCACGATGTTAACCCTCACTGCCTAGGCAGTGGTAGATCAAAACTTAAAATTGCAATTAACAATTTCATTCGTGCCAAGGCAAAGATCAAACACGAATTACTTACAGTTAATGCTACAAATCCTTTTGGACTTCAGAAAGATAATATTTTTTCCGGCACCGGCAGTGGGTGAAATCGAAGATTTAGTTGGCAAAACGCAATACGCGGTACCTACGATGTATACAGATGTTTTAATATTCTACTAATCGAACTTGGTTAATGCTACATTTTCTTTTAACAAATACAAGCTATATTCATTCAGGTGGAAAGGAAGAAAGAAGGGTTTTTTATTCTGATGGAATATAAAAAAAAAATGTTTTTTTTTATATGATAAGGGTGACAAACGAGCACACAGTCCACCTGATGGTAAGTGGTCGCTGTGGCCCATAGACATCTACATATATCTTCGATTAAGAATCAAAATGCAGATGCGTTGTCACCCGTGAGGACTAAGATGGAATGCCTCGTTTCCAGTAAAAAGGGTCTCCGGTTCTCTACTCTCACCATACGAAACACGTTAAAGCGTTAAGCTGCTATTTTACGCTGGTATTCTGTGAGAGCGTGGTCCTTCCCCGGTCAAGCCGACCCATTCGTGCTACAACCATAGTATAGATGCCGCATGGCTCTACAACATATGAAATGTGTTGTTGTTATTTAATTTCTGATGTCCTAAAGGCATGATGTTCTGTGAAGAATAGATTACATACATTTTTGTAATGTTAAATCCGAAATGAGGGTATTCTTAGAGTAACCGCCATAGACCAAAGGATCAGTAAACTGAAGTGGAAAAAGGCCGGTTATATAGCCCGTAGAACCGGTAACCGGTGGGGAAGTAAGGTTTTTGAGAGGCAGCCTTGTTCAGGTAAACGAAGTGTAAGGCGGCCCCCTACTACATGGAGTGGCGATCTGGAAAACGATGCAGGGAGTCATTGGATACAGGTCGCTCAGTGTCGCGTTTTGTGACGTTCCTTGGAGGAGGCCTATGTTCAGCTGTGGACTTGTGAATGGCTGTAACTTTTAATGACGATGAAAGGGCAACCCAGTCTCTTTAAATTACATCGTGCGGGCGAGTCGGAATTATATTAAGTCTGATTTTTATTTGCTGTAATGGATGAGCGGCACTAAGTTAATCCATCACTCTTTTCAAAAATTTCGTAGCCTCCTTTAGATAGACATCTCTGCATTTTGATTATTTATTGAGAGTTTTGATTTTTAAAGAGTGAGAAATTTTTTTTATATGACTAGCTGTTCCCCGCGACTTCACCCGCGTGAAATTTATGGGTTTTAATTTTTTTTTTGCACGGAACTCTAATTCTTTTTCTAAAATAAAGGTATCCTAAGTTACTCCTTATAACATCAGCTGTCTGCTAGTGAAAGTCCCGTCAAAATCGGTCCAGCCGTTCCGGAGATTAGCCGGAACGAACAGACAGACAGACCGACAAAAATTTTAAAAGTAGTTGTTTTGTTATTGGTACCGTATATAGGTACTTTCATATTCATTTAGTAAAATGCAATTATTTTAAAATTATAAACAGACACTTCAATTTTATTTATTTGTATAGACTAGCTGTTCCCCGCGAATTCGCCCGCGTGCAATTTAGGGTTTTAATTTTTTTGCAAGGAACCCTAATTATTTTTCCTATCTTAATTTTTTCTTTTCCTAATTATTATACCTCCTTATGACATCAGTTATATGCCAGTGAAAGACCCATCAAAATCGGTCCAGCCGTTTCGGAGATTAGCCGGAACAAACAGACAGACAGACAAAAATTTTAAAAAGTGTATTTTTGTTAAGTACCGTTTATACTTTCATATGCATTTAATAAAACGCTGTAATTTTGACATTACAAACAGACTCTTCATATTTATTTATTTATATAAATAGATAGGTAGATGTTATACGATGATTGAACAATCAGCTTTAATTGAAGTAGGTAAAAAGGTTTCACAATGACATAATTCATATTGAAATACATTTTTTAATTCTTGAATTTTCTTCACCGCCGAGCATATAAAAGCTGCAATTAATAATTTATTGCACTTTAGATCTAAGACTGAATCCATTTACGCGGTAGAGCCACGCTGCAGCTATATAATGGTTGTGGCACGAATGTGTCGACTCTACGTAAGTGGTTGCTGTGGCCCATAGACATCTACATCTATCCTCGTTTGCGAATCAAAATGAAGATGCGTTGTCAACCTTGAACACTAAGATGGAATGCCTCTTTTCCTGTAAAAAGGGTCTCCGGTTCTCTACACTCACCATACGAAACACAGCAGTGTTATGCTGCTATGTTACGCTGGTATTCAGTGAGAGCGTGGTCCTTCCCCGGTCGAGCCGACCCATTCGTGCAGTTCTCAGGGGTGACAATGCATCTGCATTTTGATTATTAAGTAAGAATGTAGATAAAGATGTAGATGTCTATAGGCTACGGTATCCATTTACCATCAGGTGGACTGCGTGCTAGTTTGTCAGCCTTATTCTATAATAAAAACCATCGGTATAAAAAATCTGAAGAATGGTTGACCCTGCAAACCAACATTGGAACTTCTCGCTTATTTTCACGCTCGAAAATGTATTTAACTTTTGTTTTTTGGTTTTTATTTTTTGAAAATCTAATCAGCTCGCAGTCTCAATGAATACTTTCGAACGCTGTGTCACCCATCTCGATCGGTTGATTTGTTCTAAAGATATCATACGACAAAATTACACACACACGCACACACACACACTCACACACACACACACACACACACATACGGTCAGACGTCCAGCCGGGAATAGTCGGAACGGCTTCCTAGGACTTTAAAACGTGGAGATCTGATGAAAACTCGCATTCCCAAAATCATATAGGTATCTTCCTACTTTTGAAAATTATTAATTTTCAAAACAGGAAGTTAAAAAAGTGATCTTGAATATCAACCAAATGTATTTATACACATATGACCACTAGAGTATAGAGTGTTTCAACACAGACAAAGGAAGGAAAGCCCTTGAATTTCTTTATATCTAATCTAGAATGTAGTCTTATTGATTATTATCAGAAGGCCTTCTTCTAACTTGAAATAATATTTAATTTTTACGTTGTGTCGATTCCGTTTCATCTGGTAGGCATAGATATCTATCAAAAAAATAATATACGGCAAATAAAACTCTCATACTTTTGCGAAATGTTATTTTTTTTTATGGAATAAGCGTAACAAATTAGCACACTGTTCACCCGATGGTAAGTGGATGCTGTGGCCCATACCTAAACATTTATCCTCGATTAGTAATCAAAATGGCTGCGTTGCTAGTGAAAAGGGTCTCCGGTTCTCTACACTCGCCGTGCGAAACACAGCAGCATAAAGCTGCTAATTCACGCAGGTACTTATTTTGTGAGAGCGTAATCCTTTCCCGGTCGAGCCTACCATTCGTGCCATAACCGTATTATAGAAACAGCGTGGCTCTACCACATAATAAAATCAATGCTATACCTATCTAATAAAAGGGAGAATTTCGAAGTAATTTCTACTCATAGTTAATATTATTAACATTATCACGACTAGTCTAGTATTTTTAGTTCTTTACTTATAATCTAGACTAAATTAGGAAATGCGTTGTGCCGGGTGAAGTAAGCTTTCTCATGTTATAAACTAATAACTAGGTACAATATCATTACTAATACCTACAAACAACGTTGAATTTTACTTTTTGTTGAAGATTAGATACATTTGTTTACATTAAAAGTATGTTTACACAGCGGATTGGAACCCGCAAATCAAATCCTAGTCACTGCGACAATACTTAGTACTTATATAACAATTTCTAATTACTACCACAGAATAAATAATAGTAGATATCTACGATAATTAGGCTAAGTTATTCCCTTGTTGAATGTAAGCTCCTTTATATTTTCATAATTTGTAACTTCGGTTCCACTGTTACAATACAACACAATAAAATTAGAAAAAAAAAATATTTTATATAATATAGATTCCCGTCTATCCAGTGTTGCACGTTTTAAATAAAATTATTTGGAAATATTTATAAAAAAATTGTGTTTTACTGTTATTACTTTCTATTTCATAGTTATTACCTCTAAATTTAGTTTGTGTTATTTAATTAAACTTAATTAGGTTTTTTTGTTTCTATTCCTAATTCTATCGTAAAATTATATCTACCTAAATAGTTTTCATTCTTCGTAGGTATATAATGGCCTATCAAAAGTCAACTGCTAAACATAGGCCTCCCCCATACATTACCTCTTACAGAGGGATATTAGCTATGGCAACTACAATTGGCAGACGGGTTGGCAACTGCAGTTTATTATTTTGAATTGTAACGAAGAAGATGCTGTTACCCATGTCCTGTTCCATTTCCCAAAATTATGTATTCAAGCGCATGAAACAGAATCCTAAATTTTTTAAATATAACAAGTTGATAAACACAATAATAAGAGGTTAATATATCTATAAATCAATTGCAAAACAGATAATTGCACATTTTGAACTATAGATAGGTATTATTATATATGAACTGTAACAGGTTTGTTGTAGTACAAGCATAGTAAATAACGTAACGCAATATACAATCAATGAAACGTTAACATTTCACTAGCGATATCGCAACGATATGTGTATAATTAGTGAACACCACCACAACACTGAACTGAATAGCACTGCCCCCCACCATACGACACGGTACACTGCGGCACCGCAGCCAACCGACTGCGCTTCGAAGCGCCCCCTGAATAACGCCCATAGATAAGGGGCTCCGCCAATCGCGAAGCAAAAAGCTCGCTATAGGATCGCGTGCGGAGCCGCGGGCGGGGCCTGTCGAGTGGCTGTAACCCGCGCCGGGGGCTTCTGGCGCCACTCTCGCCCCGAGAGCCACTAGAGCTTGAGCCGTCGAGTGGCGTCGAGTGTCGAACGGTCGGATGTCCGCGGAGGGCGGCGGCTACTCGCCGTGTCCGGCGGAGGCGCTGCCGGAGCTGAGCGCTGCCGAGCTGGCGATGAGCCTATCGCCAAAATCGGCCCTGCTGCAGCAGAACCTCTCCCAGCTGCAGCTCCAGCACTCCACGCCGTTTTCTGTCACCGACATCTTATCGCCTATCGAGGAATACCGCAAGTTGGAGCTCGCGAACAACCCGCCGTCGCCGTACAGGTGCGTGGATCGATTGGGAGGGGGGGAACCTCCACCCGCTGATTTTTCGAGTGCCCCGAAGGTCTCGAGAGTACTCGACCGACGCTCGTAGTCGAAGGATATAGTTCGGTGACGTTTGTTTGTGCAGGTATGTTGTAATCGGCGGTCAAGTGATGCGATGTGAATGTGGGGTCAACGACGTGCTTTAAACCATATTTTATCACTTGAGGACTTACGCGTAACAATCGATTAGCATCGTTTTGCCAATTTTAAGTTAGATACCTTTCGATGTCTACAGTAAATAAAATTAATTACAATGGACCTATAGTGTACCCTTGAGAGACACCGAGCGCCAACGCTTCGATATGACACTTGAGGCGTATATGCATATGTATGTATGAAAAATTGAATTACTTGCAGTTAATCAAAAGGACAACCGATGATCTATATACCAATAGAAAGTTAGAAAGTACAAACTTATTTAAGAAGTTAAATTAAAAATTTAGTTGAATATCTTTAAAACATTTTCAATTGAATCCAAATAAAACGCTTGTATATAAGATATTAGTCATTATTTTAAAATTACGAAAAGCTTAAAACTTAATAAAATACCGTGAGTTCAAAATAGTGATCAAATTTTATAAACAGGGTCAAAGAGTTACAAACAGGCCTACTATAGGAATCCCGTAGGCCTTTTAAATCATAATTTATTTTTTATTACATGGCTCTACTTTTTTATTATACTGATCTTTATCAAAAGCAAGTAGGTGATGAACATTATGTGAACTAAACAATTTAGATCACTTAAAATAACAGTTCCGAAGAATTTCGTTAAGTATATTTTTACACTTAAAACACGAGATAAAACAATTAACGTAGTAAATGTTAAAAGTTAAAAGGAACGCCGTGTTTTGTGGCATTCCTTGGAGAGACATATGTTTAGTAGCGGACTTGTGATGGATTGTAATAATAATGATGATGATGATGATTATTATTAAAAAGAAGTAAATCAACTTTAATTAAGGAATGTGAAATTTACTTCAAATAGCAATTGTTTTTAGCCTTTATTTTTAATAGCAAACATTTTTAATAGGGTAGTAGGTACTACTTTTCTTACGGGTATTTTACAAGCTTATACCTAATTTAATTTATCTTCTCTCGCGTTTTAGTTAATATTGAAATTTAGAAACCTTATCAATTAAATAATTATTTGAATTTTATTTATTTACACTTACAATTATCGTTAAAAATGATATAGATTTATCTTGAACAAAGGATAGGTGTATTTTTTGTTAAGAAAGAGATATTACTTGTGACTTATTCTTTGGAATTGAATACCTACAAATTCGGAGTTTGTAGCTTTTAATTTCAACTATTTTAATTCCCGCCGTTTCGGGTACTTTACATCACTTTAGCTTTATTATATCTACCTATATTTAATTTCAACAGAGAAAATGACTGGGTGTTACCATTAAATCTCAAATATTATAATTAATAAAACTAAATCCAAGCCCAAGCATATGCAAAATTTCAAGAGATAGTAAGTAGGAGATAGTACCCAGAATGAACATAGTAGTAGATATTCATTTTGGGTAGAACGGACGAAATAATAATAGATATCTAAAAGATAAAATATATTTCATGTCTCTCCCAGTCAAACCGGGACGTATGGAAAATTATGTAATAGGTAGGTGCCAAGAACATTATGGTCAATTTAGTAACTTTATTATTTCAATATCATGTTGTATTAATGGTTCTAATTATATTCTTATAATTTTAATTTTAACTAGAGACTGCCCGCGGCTTCGCTTGCGTGTAATTTGAAATTAATAATAATAATAAGCATTTATTCATTACCACCAATAAAGTTAAAATGAGTACATACAGAAATGACAAGAATTACATAATGTAGTAATGAATGGACTCTAGCTCAGCATAAATGTTGCAGTTGTCCACTGTTGTTATTCTACCAGCGCCCAACATATGAACAGTAGATACAGTAGGTACGCGCGCATCCCTGCTCATGTTGCAATTAATCACAACTGTTCACATTAGGGTACATACCATGGATCTCCGAGTATTAGCCAGTTCAAATTAGTAATCAAATATATTTTTTTATTACCATAATTTTTTTTTACATATTTTTAAATAAATAATTATTACAACAACATAACTAATAATAAGTAACATAAATTATAAAATAATATTGATTTTAACAAGTAACCTAAGCCTAACTTCTTTAATCTCATATAAGTTGTTTCCCAACCTACTATATAGCTACAAACAAAATTATGGAAATTTTAATTTTAGGATATTTTAGGATAGGTATATCATATCGTGTGTGTTGTATTACAGGACGCAATCTACCCGTGTACCCATATATTTATTATATTACTGCGTATGGACCGGGTCATTAAATTTAGATAGTTACGGAAATAAGGCTATTTTAAAGCGAAAATCCTCTTGTAAGTTTCGGCTTTTTAAGTCCAACGGTTTGGGCTGGGCGTTGATGAGAGCGAGAGTAATTACAATGAGTGCGTGAATTAGGAGTACTCTTTTTATTTTATATATCTAGATAATATATTGATGATCGTTCACATTAATATTTTATTAATAAGTTGCTAACCTCAAACAGCAATAATGCCTTGTCTTACACTACGTTTGATATTTTCTGATCTTATAATATACATTAAATGAAACTAATTTTACGGATTTTTATCGCGTTTAATTTAACTTTTTAATTCCCGACGTTTCGGTTGCCGTACAGGACCACAGTACCGATTTCATTTAGCCCGGCTAATTTCAGTTTTTAAATATTAATTTTTGGTCCGACCTACGCAGAATGAGCTTACAGTATCTTGAAATCTTGCAGTGGTATGCTTGGTTAAATAAAACTAATTTTACGGATTTTATCGCGTATATTAACTTATTTTACATTCCCGACGTTTCAAGCACTTTACAGCACCCATGGTCACGGGTGCTGTAAAGTGCTTGAGGTGTATGTGTAGTGTTCGCGTAAATATAAGAAATCATTATGGTATGCTTGGGTTTGGATTTAATTTAATTACGAGCTGATATCTGCGTTGTTTACATAGATACATCACTGAACACGTACTGCTTATAAAAATCGTTATTTCTTAAAACCTTAAATCTTGATGTTAAATGAAGATATCGCAATATTTTTTTAGGTAAGGGCCAAGTGTCTAAAAAATAAAACTTAGAAAACTTAATTGAAATCTATCTAGTTGTTTTTCCGTGATGCGCGCACAACTCTATAATTTTATTTATATAGGTTAGGATCCCAAGCTTATGTCCATCTTCTCTATTGAAATTAGGATGTTTTTTAATTTCAATAGCCTCGCGAATTATTCTTGGTAGGAAACGGTGTTCTTTTGCGAGGAGTTGTGGTCCATCAAATCTAATGTAATAGCGTGATCGATCTTGAACATGTTCACAGACTGCATACTTTCCGGAACGTCGGTTTTCACGTCTGCTATGTTCTTTTACGCGGGCTTTTATAGATCTTTTTGTTTGTACTATGTACGTATGACCACATTCACAATCAAGCTTGTCCACACCTGCATCTTTTATAGGGATATTACAATAATTGTAATTATATTGACGGATGGTAAAAATTGACTGATCGGCGGCTTGTACTACAGTATTGTACATACTACGATAAAGTTTTAAAGTTCTTACGTGGTAGAGCCATGCTGCAGCTATATTAGTATAGTTGTAACACGAATCGGTCGGCTCGACCGGGGAAGGACCACGCTCTCACAGAATACCAGCGTAAAATGGCAGCTTGACACTGCTGTGTTTTGTATGGTGAGTGTAGAGAACCGGAGACCCATTTTACTCGGAAAGAGGCATTCCATCTTAGTCCTCACGGATGACAAAGCATCTGCATTTTGATTCGCATACGAGGATAAATGTAGATGTATATGGGTCACAGCTGCCACTTACCATCACGTGGACTGTGTGCTCGTTTTTCAGCCTATCCTATAAAAAAAAGTAGAGTAAGCCTACGTGTGACATATGCACAAATAATAGTTATACATAGATTTCGGGCCAGGATAAGGGTGACAAGCAAGCACACAGTCCATCTGATGGTAAGTGGCTGCTATGGCACACAGACATCTACATCTAATCCTCGTTTGCGAATAAAAATACAGAGGCGTCGACAACCGTAGGGACTACGATGGAATGCCTCTTTTCCAGTAATAAGGGTCTCCGGTTCTCTACACTCACCATACGAAACACAGGGTATTCTGTGAGAGTGTGGTCCTAGTCGAGCCGACCTATTCGTGCTACAACTATACAATAAATATAAATGCAGCATGGCTCCACCACGTCAAATATGTAGGTGTAGAAACAAAACAAAAGTTACAGAATTTTTATTACCTGTCAGTCCATTACAGAACTTTTTTTAACATTCATACCTTACGGGAAGATGTGGTCACAGTTAGAAACCGCTCGACACTTTACTGATTTTCCCATGTCTTTTGTTTAATTTTAATAAAAGGATTATTTTCGACTTTGACATACTTAAACTAACAAAATAAATTTTATTACTTAGATGTGATTAAGCAGATCATAGCAATATCATATATTTTTAAATTTAAGTCTTAATTTTTAAAATTTACTTCCCAGAGCTGGGCACAGGCCTTATATCATTTCTGAGAGGGTTTTAGGGCGAGCAAATGTCCGCCGCGTTGCCCCAATGTGTTTTGGCGAACTTCACATACCTTCGAAATATCTTTTTTCTTCTTTTCCCAGACGTGCAGGTTTCCTCACAATGTTTTATTTCATCGCCGAGCACTTGGTAAATCAGCACTAAAATTGCAACTAACAATTTCATTTGTGCCGGCGGGGTTCGAACCCGAGTTACTCGCGTACTGTGAAATCTAAAGCGAGCGTTTAGCCCCTGAGCTACCACGTTTCCCACATAGTAATTTTATTCAAATTTTAAGTATATAATTTACCAGTAATGACTTTCGGAAGCAAAACGTGGTTCTTAT